TTTGGCTGGATATAAAATTCTGGGCTGAAAGTTCTGTTCTTTAAGGATGTTAAATATCGGCCCCCACTCTCTTCTGGCTTGTAGAGTTTCTGCTGAGAGATCTGCTGTAAGTCTGATAGGCTTGCCTTTGTGGGTAACCTGACCTTTCTCTCTGGCTGCCCTTAGTATTGTCTCCTTCGTTTCAACCCTGGTGAATCTGACGATTATGTGCCTTGGGGTTGTTCTTCTTGAGGAATATCTTTGTGGTGTTCTCTGTATTACCTGGCGTTGAATATTGTCCTGCTTTGCTAGGTTAGGAAAATTTTCCTGAATAATATCCTGAAGAATATTTTCCAGCTTGGATTCATTCTCTCTGTCGCATTCAGGTACACTTATCAAACGTAAATTAGGTCTTTTCACATAGTCCCACAATTCTTGGAGACTTTGCTCATTCCTTTTTATCCTTTTTTCTCTCATCTTGTCTTCTCATTTTATTTCATTAAGTTGGTCTTCAACCTCTGATATCCTTTCTTCTGCTTGATCAATTTGAGTGTTTAAACCTGTGCATACTTCTCGGAGTTCCCGTATTGTATTCTTTAGTTCCATTAATTCACTTATATTCCTCTCTAAATTGTCTATTCTCATTAGGATTTCATCAAACCTTTTTTCAAAGTTCTTAGTTTCTTTACATTGGGCTACAACATGTTCTTTTAACTCACAGAAGTTTCTTATTATCCATCTTCTGAAGCCTGAATCTGTTAATGGGATGCGCTCGTTCTCCATCAAGTCTTGTTCCCTTGTTGATGAGGAACTGTGATCCTCTTTAGAGGGAGAGGCATTCTGATTTTGAGTATTCTCAGCCTTTTTACGCTGGTTTCTTCCCATCATTGTAAATTTATCCACCTGTCGTCTTTGTAATTACAGACTTTCAAATTAGGTCTCTGAGTGTATGTCCAAGTTGTTAATTCCCAGGGCCGAAATATGAGCAACCCACTGTGCTGGCCAAAACAGTGGCATTAAGACTGATGGTGCTTTTCTGCCCAGGAATCTCCAGTCTGGCTTCCTTCTTGAGTCCGTAATAGGCGACTCTGCCTTCCCGGAGCTCCAAACGTGGGTCAGAAGGGGACCCAGTCCCGTTTACTCTGCACCAAGAGCTGCCGCGCTGAGGTGCCAGCAAAACCGCTGCGCTGGCCACAAAAGTCACACTGGCGACCCATGCGGCTCCTCCACTGGGAATCTTCTGCTCCGTGAGCGACAAAAATGTCTGAAAGTGTGGTGTCCTCTTGTTCTCTGTGCTTTCACTGGGAGCTGCAATCCCAAGATGTTAGTGATCAGCCATCTTGGATCGTTCTCCTTTTTTTTTTTTTTTCTCACAGTTCCTGCTTTATTTCCATTTGTTCACGCACGCTTTTTAAAAAAAAAATAACACATGCACTCACAAAATACCTAAACATCAGGAATTAGAAGGGCATACAATAAGGGACTTTATAGGCTGAAAAAATATCCTAGGCTTCAGAACAGAATACCGATCAAATATTGAAAATTCCTTTGTTCAAATCACAAAGATGTTTTGTTTTTAATGGGAATATTTTTAAGTTTTTTTGTTTGTTTTTTTAAAAAAAGGGAAGATTTAAGAACAAACAGCAAGCTGCTCACACTGCCTGAGGCAGGGCCTGGTTTCTCCTCCTTAAAGGCCTTTTACAGATGTCAGCCTTGACTGGCCTCCATGCTCAACCTCCCACTACCACCCACTCTGCCTGCCACTGTGAAGTGCAGGCACCCCTGGACCCCCCTGAGGACGTGGGCAGGGGCTACAGGGCATCCAGGATGTGGTCGATCTTGGTGACCAGCTCCTGGCGCTTTCCTGAGATGAGCTTCTCATTCTCAATGTATGTGTCTTTCTTGAGCTTGCCAGCCACCAGGAGCTCAGCCTCCACCGCTGACTTCAGCACCAGCTCCTTGACCTGTGCATCCAGCTTCTGCATTTCGCTTACTCTGTCACCCAGATCAGAGCCATCTGTCTTCAGCCTGGACTGCAGCAGTGCAATCTCACTGGTCAAGGCCTTGTGTTCAGTCTCCAGGCTCTTCTTGCCACTGTTGAGGGTGGAGATGTCCTGGGATTGCTTATACCTGTTGACAGTCTCATCAAAGTGACGGTAAAGGCCTGTTCGCTTGTTGACCAGGGTCAAGACCTGCTCTGTGATGCAGGCTACCCTCATCCTGGCTTCTGTGGCCGGATCCTTGGTGATGGAGAAGTCCAGCTGGACATAGATTATGACAGTGAAGAACAGGATGTAGAAGGCTGCCACCACGAGCAGGGGCTCCTGCAGCCTAAGCACCTTGTTGAATGTGTAGTGGACCACAATGTCCTGAATGTGCTGTTCTACCAGATTTTTCTTGTAGGCAACAATCACAGGGCGGCCGAACGTATCCAGATAGGTGTAGTGCAGCTCATCTGGGGAACGGCTGATTTCATAGGGACTATCAATTTCAATGTTCTTCGCTCCTTCAGGCAGGATGATCTTCACAGTCAGAGAATCTATCACTTGTTCATCAAACACATAGTCGACAAACCTCATCTTCAGTGCATACTGGTCACCCAAATTATAGAGGTACTCACAGCTTGGAAGGTTGTAGCCAATGGTGTAATGGGTCTTCCACCTGCCAAAGAGAGGGAAGCGAGGCCAGATTTCCACCTCTACAGAGTCATCCAAAATAAGGAGGTGACTGGTGGAAACATTGCCAATCTCATCCCAGTAATAAACATCCTGGGCAGCAGCAGGAAGGATGGTCTTAAAAGAACTGATGGAGGATATTCCACTATCTGGCTGTCTCTGGTAATCATAGCATGAGAAAGGCCCCTTAAGCACAGCCCCTGTGTGCTTCAAGTCCACATTTTCTTCCACAGCAATATTACCCCAGTGAGAGACTTCAATGACTCTAGACATGCTGGTGATGGTCAGGAAAGGACTGTTGTTCTCATAATGTACTTTAAAAGTATCCTGACTATAGGCAGGGACATCTCTGAACGGCCCATAATCCAGCAGTTCCTCGGGGCGCATGGGGTTCCCCAGCTTGGTGTAGCTCTCCACATTTCGGGAGGCAAGCTTCACATGCATGGTTTGTCTCTTTGTTGGATAGGGAGAGTAGAAATAATGGTTCCCCTCAAACACCACAAACTGTTTCTCTGACTGAGTGATCTGAGTTGGATATGGCTGAAGCACATGGGTGTAGACTGTCTCCACAATGACTGAAATCTTGGCCCCAGGATCAAGAGCAAGTGGGAGCTTGACTGTGAAGAATTTCCCACTTTTAACCTTAATTTTGGTTTCCCGTACTTCCAAATTGTTCTCTTCCTCATCTTCTCCCTTCACCTGCACGCCCAGATGCACCAGCCGAGCCTCGAGGTTGGGCTCCAAAGCAGAAGGAAAGAGGTAGCTCAGGACGTGGAGCCACTGCCCAGGTGCGCCAGGACCACCTCCGCTGTCACCTTAGATCCACTGTGCGCTTCACCTCCTCGTTGATCAGCAAGGGTGCCTCGGAGGAGGCGCTGCACGGCGCGGGGGCCCAGGCCCCAAACCACAGGAGCAAAAACAGGCAGGCAGCTAGTGCCTCCATGACCGGAAAGAGCAGAGCACCAGGGAGGGTAGAGTGCCGCCAGGGTACCCCGCCCTCCTGCCACTAAGCAGTCCCATCCTTTTATATATCTTTCCACCTATGCCTCTGCACACACACATACACAGCTTTACACAACTAAGATCTGTTATTCTAAATTTTATTTTATATCACTACATTTTATTTTCTCATAATTCCCTTCCTCCCTGGTTCCTGTCTCTTTTTTGGCTCAAATCCTGATTCCTTTCTTACTTCTACTTGTTTTTTTTTTTTTTTTTTTTTTTTTTCTGAGACGGAGTTTTCCTCTTGTTACCCAGGCTGGAGTGCAATGGCCCGATCTCGGCTCACCGCAACCTCCGCCTCCTGGGTTCAGGCAATTCTCCTGCCTCAGCCTCTCGAGTAGCTGGGATTACAGGTACGCGCCACCATGCCTGGCTAATTTTGTGTATCTTTAGTAGAGACGGGGTTTCACCATGTTGACCAGGATGGTCTCGATCTCTTGACCTCGTGATCCACCCACCTTGGCCTCCCAAAGTGCTGGGATTACAGGCGTGAGCCACCACGCCCGGCCACTTCTACTTGTTTAAGTTTTTTTTTTGAGACGGAGTTTTGCTCTTGTTACCCAGGCTGGAGTGCAATGGCGCGATCTCGGCTCACCATAACCTCTGCCTCCTGGGTTCAGGCAATTCTCCTGCCTCAGCCTCCCCAGTAGCTGGGATTACAGGCACGTGCCACCGTGCCCAGCTAATTTTTTGTATTTTTAGTAGAGACGGGGTTTCACCATGTTCACCAGGATGGTCTCGATCTCTTGACCTCGTGATCCACCCACCTCGGCCTCCCAAAGTGCTGGGATTACAGGCGTGAGCCACCGTGCCCAGCCCTAGTTTGAATTTTTATGGCCCTGTTTTAAGTTTAATTTACTTCTTTCTCTGATGTTTTGGGGTGGAAGATTAGCTTGGTTTGTTTAAGATATTTCTTCTTTTTTCTTTTTTTTTTTTTTTCTTACAAGGGTTTCTAGATTTTTATTTCCTCTCATTTCTCCACCATCTTCCTCTTTAAAAACAAAACACAATAAAACTAAGCCTAGAAAATACTCACTAGTCAGCCTTCCTGCCCTTCCCCATGGTTCTCAGCACCCCCACCAGCTGGCTCAAGGGACACAGATGTTATTTCTGCACAAAGAGGGGCCCTGGGGGAAGGAGGTGTATAGCTAAGACCAGAGAGAGCTTGTTACCCAGGGCTTGGGCTGAGAATCACTCCCTTCTCCCATTCAGGGTCAGGCCTATATTAAACACATGGCCTTTGAAACTAACCACCCTGAGGGTTGTTATATGTTCTGTGTGGATGTTTAAACAATGAAATTTGGGGCCTGGGCTTAACATATGCACAAATTTTGAAGTAAGACCTGAAATGACCTTGGGTAAGTTTATTAACCTAGGTTTTATAAATCCTTAAACAAACATTCACACAGATATAAAGTGCCTAGCCCATCAGAGCAGAGAAGAGCTCTGTATAGGTCACGTGTACCAATAAGATATCAGGGATTCTTCAGAAGCCAGCCTTGAAACTTCTCATTGTGTTTTGAGATCATTATTATCAATTTGGACTTCAAAAACAAGGGCCCTGTAAAACCCTTGAAGTCTTCCTCATCTCAGGTTTTAGCGATGTCACTTGGATAAAAATTAAGGGTTCACAAAGGTCACTGCCCCCAGAAGCAGGCACTGGAAATAGATAGGCAGCTCTTCTTTATCCCAAGCAGAACCTGTGTCAGCTTCCCCACTGATGGGTTCCATTTGTCTACCTGGGGTTGGAGTTGGTGGGCAACTCTTCACTGTGCTTGCAGCTGGGCTGAGGCAGGATCCTGGACCTCTCGGGGGCGTAGCCCGTGGAACGTGGTCGATTTGTTGGTAAAGGGGTGCCACTGGCCCTGGATGCTAGGGTTGTCGGTGTGGAAGGGCTTGCGGATGCGGATCACATCCAAGCCCGACTGGTTGGCCAGCTTCTGCACCAGCGTCGAGATCTCCTCGACCGACTTGCAGTGGATGCTCTCCTCGCGCACAGCCCCGTTAAGGTATTCCGCCACTATTCTTGGCACGCAACACGGACGCGAGTTCACATATATTACGACCCCTGGGTTCCGTCGGGCGAAGTCGATCACCTCCCGTTCCAGGAACTCCCTGGCGCCGCCAGACGAGGGGCCATCACGGCTGACACTGAAGCTCAGACGCTGCAGCTGCTGCACGTAGCGACCCAGTCCGTTGTGGAGAACACTGGCCAAGAAGCGGCTCGGAGTCCCGCGCGCAGTCATAGCTAGTGCTAAGAGGCAGCGGAGTCCAAGCGGCGAGAGCCTTTTTTCTTTTTTTAAAACAGGGTCACCCAGGCTACAGTGCAGTGGCTCTGTCACAGTTCACTGCAGCCTCAACCTCCTGGGTTCAAGCAATCCTCTGGCCTTGGCCTCTCGAATAGCTGGGACTATAGAAACACATCACTGTGCCTGGCTAATTTTTTAAATTTTTTGTAGAGACAAAGTCTCACTATCTAGTCCAGGATTCTTCTTTTTCTCTCTCTTTTTTTCCCCCCCAAGACAGGATCGTGCTGTATCACCCAGGCTGGGGTGCAGTGGTATAATCATGACTCACTGCAGCCTAGACCTCTGGGTGTAAGTGATCCTCCCACTGCAACCTCTCAAGTAGCTGGGACCACAGATGCATGCCACCACACCTGGCTAACTTTTTAATTTGCAGAGACAGGGTCCCACTATGTTGCCAAGGCTGGTCTTGAACTCCTGGGCTCAGGTGATCCTCCCACCTCAGACTCCCAAAGTGTTGGGATTACAGGCATGAGCCACAGCACCCAGCTCTTTCCTCTTCTTTTTTAATGTAGTTATTTACAGCTATAAACTTTCCTATTAGCACTGTTTTAGCTACAGCCCATGATGTTTGATATGCTATATCTTCATTTTGATTCACTACAAAGTACTTTCTTGTTTCTTCTCTTAGAAACAGGGACTCACTCTGTTGTCCAGGCTGGAGTGCAGTGGCATGATCAAGGCTCACTGCAGCCTCAACCTCCTGGACTCAAGTGAAATACTCACACCTGGGTCCCTTCCCTCACACCAGTCATTCTCCACTGAGATTATGATTCAATCTGAGATTGTGATCTGGACATCAGGAATGTTATAAAGTCACCATGAGATTCTAATTTCTAGCCAAGGTTGTGAACCACCGCTTTAAGAAGACAGATATTGATACTTAGGTCAGTCTTCTGGAACCCTGGCTGGGATCACAATTTTCTGCAAGAGCTAATAACCAGAATTAAAAAGAGTCTTGAAAAATCACTCTCCATTATGACAGTGAAGATGTGATCATATTCTGTCACTAGAGGGCGAAATTTCTTCATTTTCAACATTGAATAACTATCATTGCCTCAAGGTTAAGAATTCACTGAGGTTCCTCTCTTAAAAACAAACAAACCAAAAAAAAGTAATGAAGTTCTAACAAAGGTCTACTAAAGCTTGACTTTTATGCTATCAGCTCCTACCTATTTATGAAGTGAGACTTTAAGATGCAATTGAGAACACTGTGTCCTTTCATTTGCCACATACCCTCTTCACAAAGGGCTTGTATTTTATAGGGTGTATCCTTTTTACAAGATACATGGCTTTGCTGTGTAGTCAATGTTACAAAACAGGAGGTAGGGCATCTTGAAACAGAAATTTTGCATTACTAACCACCTCTCAAAGGGGTCAATTCTAAGGCTGCTAGTGGAGAACCATACTTTGAGCAGTAGAAGGTGGAGAACCTAGGGGCAGATACCATAACTCAGTTTCTGAAGATATTCTAAGATGTAAACTCACACACTGATAACAGGATCACTACCTGCCTATCTATCTATCTATATCTGTCATCTATCCTCATGAAGGCAGAGAGATCACAAATCCAGGGGATTCCAAATTGACTGTGGATTAGAATCACTTGATTGCTTCTTAAAACTAAAGATTCTGGAGAGAGAACAATCCAAGATGGCCGATCGCTAACATCCCGGGATTGCAGCTCTCAGGGAAGGCGCAGAGAACTAGAGGACGCCACACTTTCAGACAAATTCTGGTGGCTCACGGAGCAGAAGATCCCCCAGTGGAGGAAACACACGGGTGGCCAGCGCGACTCTCGTGGCCGGCGCAGCGGTTCCACCGGCACCTCGGCGCGACAGCTCTCGGAGCAGAGTAAACAGGTTCGGAGGACCCACAAGGGCCCCAGCAGGACACCAGAGTCTGGCGCAGCGGCTGCGATGGCACCTCGGCGCGGCAGCGCTCGGCGCAGAGTAAACGGGACTGGTTCCCCTTCTGACCGAGGTTTGGAGCCCCGGGAAGGCAGAGTCGCCTACTACGGACACAAGAAGGAAGCCAGACAGGAGAATCCTGGGCAGAAAAGCACCATCAGTTTTAACGCCGCTGCTCTGGCCCTGGGAACTAACAACTTGGACATCCACTCAAGAGACCTAATCTGAAAGTTGGCAATTTCAAAGACGACAGGAGGATAAATTTACAATGACGGGAAGAAACCAGCGTAAAAAAGCTGAGAATACTCAAAGTCAGAACGCCTCTCCCTCTAAAGATGATCACAGTTCCACATCAACAATGGAACAAGGCTTGATGGAGAACGAGCGCATCCCGATGACAGAATCACTCTTCAAGGAATGGATAATAACAAACTTCGGTGAGTTAAAAGAACATGTTGTAGCCCAACGTAAAGAAACCAGGAACTTTGAAAAAAGGTTTGATGAAATCCTATTGAGAATAGACAACTTAGAGAGGAGTATGAGTGAATTAATGGAACTGAAGAATACAATACAGGAACTCCGAGAAGTATGCACAGGTTTAAACACTCGAATTGTTCAAGCAGAAGAAGGGATATCAGAGGTCAAAGTCCAACTTAATGAAATAAAACGTGAAGAAAAGATTAGAGAAAAAAGGATAAAAAGGAATGAGCAAAGTCTCCAAGAAATGTGGGACTATGTGAAAAGACCAAATCTACGTTTGATATGTGTACCTGAATGCGATGGAGAGAATGAATCCAAGCTGGAAAATACCCTTCAGGATATTATTCAGGAAAATTTTCCTAAACTAGCAAAGCAGGTCAACACTCAACCCCAGGTAATACAGAGAACACCACAAAGATATTCCTCAAGAAGAGCAACCCCAAGGCACATAATCGATAGATTCACCAGGGTTGAAACGAAGGAGAAAATACTAAGGGCAGCCAGAGAGAAAGGTCAGGTTACCCACAAAGGCAAGCCTATCAGACTTACAACAGATCTCTCAGCAGAAACTCTACAAGCCAGAAGAGAGTGGGGGCTGATATTCAACATCCTCAAAGAACAGAACCTTCAGCCCAGAATTTCATATCCAGCCAAACTAAGCTTCACAACTGAAGAAAAAATAAAATCTTTTATGAACAAGCAAGAACTCAGAGATTTTATTACCACCAGGCCTGCTTTACATGAGCTTCTGAAAGAAGCATTACACACAGAAAGAAACAACCAGTATTAGCCTTTCTAAAAATACACCAAAAAGTAAAGAGCACCAACATAAAGAAGAATTTACACCAACGAATGCATAAAACAGCCAGTCAACATCAAATGGCAGTAACCCTAAATTTAAATTGACTGAATCCCCCAATCAAAAGACACAGCCAAAACCCAATGGCATGTTACATCCAGACCTGTTTCACATGCAAGGATACACAAAGACTCAAAACAAAGGGATGGAGAAAGATTTACCAACCAAATGGAGAGAAAAAATAAATAATAAATAAATAAAAAGCAGGAGTTGCAATTCTCGTATCGGATAAAATAGATTTTAAAGCAACAAAGATATAGTGGTAAAAGGATCAATGCAACAACAAGAGCTAACGATCCTAACACCCAGATACGAGACTTAGATGCAATGAGACAGAAAATTAATAAGGATATCAAGGACTCGAACTCAGATCCGGAACAAGTAAACTTAATAAATATTTATAGAGTTCTCCACTTCAAATACACAAAATACACATTCTTGTCAATACCACATCACACCTACCCATAAGCTTAAATAAAACATTGATTGGCCATCATTAATACCCAATTTTTTTCAAAATAAAGCAATATTTCCATTTACTCTCCCTCTTTCTCTTCCTCTTTCTTTCTCTCCTTTACTTTTTTTTTCCTTCCTTCTCTCAAAAAAAAAGAAATCAACTTGTAAACCTCTAGATCCAGGTCAGCAATGTCTCTCTCATTGCTTGATGTCCTTTCTTCCCTTCCCTCCCTCCCTCTCTTCCCGCTTCTCCCTTCCTTCCTTCCTTTCCTTCCTTCCTTCCTTCCTTCCTTCCTTCCTTCCTTCCTTCCTTCCTTCCTTCCTTCATCCCTTCCTTCCTCCCTTCCTTCCTCCCTACCATCCTTCTTCCCTCCCTTCCTGCCTTCCTCCCCCCCGCAAAAAAAAAATAATAAAACTAAAGATTCTGGGCCAAGCACAGTGGCTCATGCCTGTAATCCCAACACTTTTGGAGGCCCAGGCAGGCAGATCACGAGGTCAAGAGATCGAGACTATCCTGGCCAACATGGTGAAACCCCTGTCTCTACTAAAAATACAAAAATTACCTAGGCATGGTGGCGCCCACCTGTAGTCCCAGCTACTTGGCAGGCTGAGGCAAGAGAATCACTTGAACCTGGGAGGCGGAGATTGCAGTAAGCCAAGATTGTGCCACTGCGCTCCAGCCTGGTGACTGAACAAGAATTTGTCTCAAAAATAAATAAATAATTTTATAAATAAAATATTTGAGACTAAAACGTTCTTAGTCTCAACCCCTGGAGGTTATGATCAGTAGGTCTGGAGTGGGGCCAAGAATTTGTGTTTTTAACAAGTGCCCAGGAGATTTTGCTGGACCCTGCTGCTTTTGAAAATCACTGTTCTTCTGACCGGGCGTGGTGGCTCACGCCTATAATCCCAGCACTTTGGGAGGCCGAGGCGGGTGGATCACGAGGTCAAGAGATCGAGACCATTCTGGTCAACAAGGTGAAACCCCGTCTCTACTAAAAATACAAAAATTAGCTGGGCATGGTGGTGCGCGCCTGTAGTCCCAGCTACTCAGGAGGCTGAGGCAGAAGAATTGCTTGAACCCAGAAGGCGGAGGTTGCGGTGACCCGAGATCGTGCCATTGCACTCCAGTCTGGGTAACAACAGTGAAACTCCGTCTCAAAAAAAAAAAGAAAATCACTGTTCTTCAAAGTGTTTCCTTTACAAAGAAACTGAGGTTGGAAAAGGAGAAGAACTTTTCAAAGTTATGACATCACCAAAGCAGGATCCGGGTTCTC